TTGTCTACAAACTGGCTTTGGGATAACCTGCTATAACCTGCAACAATCAGCGAAGTAGCATCAACATCCAGATTAACCAGATTCTTCCTGCTATCAGGACACATCCGAAACTGAGGAGCTTTGTAGACAATGGTTACCTTTGGTTCATTTAAAATTGTTTCAGAAAACAGAGTCACTGCTTTGATAGAGAACAATATTTTTCTGTTTGTTTGCTGATTCCTAGCCATACTATTATGTTATCATTATACTACACTTTATTATGCTTTATTATCACCAGCTATTCTGTCTCAAGAAGGGAATAGGCAAGTAGTCTAAATGCCACCTTCCTGTATAAGCAGGAACTGTTTCCTCCAAGCTCCATTCCATGTTTGCCATTTTTCTTGCTTACTATTCATCACATATCACCTGAAAGACCCCATCTGGACAAAGGTCTGCCTCTCCGCTGACAAGCGAGGAGGCAACTGGCAGGGCTGAAGCATCTTCTGTGGGTACACTGCTGCACTGCACACAACCTCCTACTGCACATAGCCCACATCAGCAGGGAAAGAATAATTTTCTGGAATTTGTTATAAGCTGAACTGGGTAAACAATACTGGCCCAAAATACTTTGCTGTTCAAGCACAGAATATTAGAAGTCATACAAAGGACTGTAAAACTTCTTAATAGGACAGGCAAGATGAAGTGTCAGGGAAACTGAAGCTGCAGGCACACCTTCTTAAGAACAGGAACTAATGTGGCAACACTATTAGAGATCTCACTATTCAGAGATCCAAAACAGTATTAAACAAATAAAGTCTAACATTGGGAAAAGGACAAAAAAAAACCCCAAAAAACCAACAATAACAAAAAACCAACAACAACCAGAAAAGTCAGTGGAATCTTTTATAGCATATCTTAAACTTATTCCTCTGACAATCAGTATTAGAGAAGTTATTTCCCATAAATCTCTGTTAGATAATAAGTCTAATTTAACCTAGTACACTTCAGATTGGAATATAATAAATCTGTGGCTAAACTCAGTCAAATTGCAATGATGTTTTAATATATTTAGCATATTCTATGCATTCTGTGTTTAGCCTTGCACAGATATGGAAATTTATCTCAGTTGATGAGGAAGCTCAAGTCTGCTTTATTTTGAGACCAAGTTGGAAATCAATTCTGATTTAAAGTCTTGAATACTAGTCCCACAAAGGGATAGAAGAGTCACAGTTTGACTTGTAGGCTTTTAAATACATTTATTTTCTAGTGACAATTGAAGGATCTAGATTTAGATAGAGCATAAAATTAAGTAGAAACAAATATAGAAAAAAATTCACTGTGGGGTTGTCAGTGAAGATTAAAATATCTAACACATCCTATTTGGGTTTTTCACATTGTTTGAACAATTACTACTAAGATTCACAGTGTATTTTTTGTGCATTTGCAACACAATTCAGCTAAAGGTATCAAGTTATTCACCAAGAACCATGTCATACCTTTTAATAAATGCAGAAATATCACATATTTACCTTCTGTCAGAAAGTCAAACCCAGTCTCCCAATACTCTGGACATGTACTACAGGTGGACAAAAAACCCCAGGCCACCTCCCACAGGGCAGTCAAGCAGGAAACTACACAGACATTTCTTTTTTCACCTGGAGCTTTACCTGTCCTCATCAGCAACCTCTGAAGTGGCCCAAGTTGTCAAAGCAATTTCATCTGCTCTGCAACTACTTGTTGGTAGAGCACTCACTCAGCCTTCACACAAAACAATGTTTCAGATAGAATGCTTTCAGGTTTGTGGCATTAAAAAGTTACTATAATAAATTTTAATCACCTATGTAACAACACAGCACCTGAACTTGCATCCCTCAGAGGACAAAAGAGCAGTAACGTTGCCAGAAAGAAGGCAAAGTAAACAAGTCAGAAGGTGAAAAGTCTCCCTTCACTCTTCATGAATTATCACACATCTTTATTGTGCTTTACTTGAGCTCAACACAAAATACATTAGATCATTTGTGACTGAACAGTGGGGGTCCTTAAATAATATTTTGTTAAGTATTTCCTTACTTTTAGTAGTACAATTTCTTAGACTGTGGATACAATACAATGAAAATTTGTATTGTATCCACAGTCATTCTGGACATACTCCAAACATTAAATCTTAAGACTTTTTATAATTAGACTACCTTGTAGAATTTAGAGATACTTGGGCAGAGGACAATTTACATTTACCAATGCTAGAGATGCAAATTACTAATCTTCCCCTCCTTCCCTACCTCCCTCACCAGAGATTCTGGGTGCTCAGTTCACCTCAGTACTGCATTTTCACACAGTACTATATGCTTCCAGTTATGTAAGATGAAAGTTAGAAGGATTTCAGCATGCAACACCACAATATCCCAAAGTGGTAGAGTTAGTAAAAAGAACACGTTCTGCATATACAACCACAGAAGAAACATAACACCAAAAAAGTGGATGCATTTTACCAGACTTTGCATTTTAAGTAATCTTAAATCTAAACAACAGAAGAAAATGTTATATTTTGAATGTTTTTATTCCAGTCAAATTACAAATACAAGCATTTAAAAATGTACAAAAATATAAAATGACATTTCCTACATCTTACAAAAGCAGATCAAACTTACTTCTATATGTACAATCCTTTTAGTGAGAAAGCCTAATTAGCAGACATTTTTTCTGTTCTCTTCTGAGCATTCTTTGCCAAATCTCTCCCCCCAAATTCAGCCACACTTAAAACTAAAAGTAACATTTCAAAAACTTAATATACTAAATGTCCCTGAATAGATTACAAAGAAACCATTTCTCACAGATAAGAAACCTGTCGGTGGTAATGTATTTCCTTAATAACTTTAGGGCAAACTACATCCTGATGGGTAGTTTGCAAATCAAGCTTTCTGTAGTTTGTTGATATGTAACTTGGAAAACACAGTTGGATTACAGTTTTTTTATTTTTTAAGCTATTTTTACACATTAAAAGAAACAATGATAGCTTTGTTGATAGCATTCTTCCTTCCCCTAAAGCTTTATCTCTTTCAAAAAAAACCAAAACAACAAAAACAAACAAGCAAACAAACAAAAAAAAGGAAAGTATCTGCAAATAATTATAAAAAGCAGTAGAAGAATTTTTCCTGAATCCAAAATAATTGTTTTTTTGCAAAAGGGATTGAAGTGATCACCTGCTCAATACCACATTGTACTAATGAATGCAGAGGAAGCACTGCCACAGCAACAGTTTTGAGCCATTCTATAATGTCTATTCAAATATTTTTGGTATCAAGTTTTGCTCAGTAATATTGATCAAATTATCTTAAGCAGTATAGTTCCTCTCCATGTTCTGTCATTCATTTGGCCACAACACTGTTTTCTTTCAATGTTTTGACAGCTGATGCTTTTTGGAGCTGCAGTAATGTAAGGATAGGTGAGTCAATGCTCATGTAAAGAGGTAGCTACTTAAACTACCATTATGGAAAAACAGTTTTGAGGGACATAAGCCCTTTTTAGGTCTCAAATACAGCAGGAAACTTTAAAATTGAAAACCGTTGCTCAATTTACATGAATGTGCCCAGTTCCTAAGTGAAAAGCAAGGTGCCGATGCTTCAAAGATAGCTCCCAAAAAGCAGGTTCTGTCCAACCTTTTTTTTTGCCATTCCTTCAGCTGTCAACTTCAACCACATCATTACATCATTTAACAGAAAGCTGCTTAGCAAGAGAACAGGTAATACCTATTTCTACGGGGTCCAGAATACAGGTACCCAAGCCATAAGCTGCTACCTGTAACAAACTAGAAGAATTTAATTTACCTGGCCCAGTTGTGGACAGAGATCTCATTAACTTGTGCTGTGATGGAGATGAATGCAGGTTGAATACAGGTTTAACAACAGCCCCCTGCCTGCACCTATGCTAGCTTTCAATTCTGCTGCTTCTACAGCTTGACTCTGGCCTCTAAAAAAATTCAAACACCTGCAGAAAAACACACTAATATCCCAGAAGTAATGTTCAGTTCTGTACAACAGGTAGTTCAGCATGACACCAAGCCTTCTTAACATCTTGTCCTTCATGTCATCTGACCAAAAATCATCATTCTGTACTTATGTCCATAATGTATTTAGAGAATACTCAAGTCTCTTAAATTTCTCTGGCAAATTTTAGACACAACCCATTTTTCTACTGTCTTAAAATATTTTAAGATTGTCCTATGAGCTCATTTCAGCACTAACACATTATAAACATATTTTTACTTGCTAAATATTTACTTTTTAGTTCACAGGAAAACTTATTTTTCTAGAAAGATCATGAGCACATTTTTTAAGCATTACCACAGACACAAAAGATTCATGTGGGATACTTTTAGCACTGGTAATGTCAGGACATTCTCCAGTTACTTCACACTACTGGTTAAGATGAAAGGACAGTGCTAACAAGCATTTGAAATTGACTGAAGCTTTTCTTTTCTTGCTAAGACATAAGAACACATCATAGGCAGTTTTGTTGTAAACTAAGAAAAAACAAGGAATGTATCTATTACCAAGGAAAATAAACTGCAGCATCTAAAATAGGAGTCATATTTGGGAAAACAGATGAAGCTTCACAAAAGACACTTACAGAAAGTTCTGTCTGCCTAGTCATCTATCTCCTTCAACTAAGTTTCATGTAGACCTACCTGTAAAACCAAAGCCAGCAACAAGCAGAATCAATAGACAACAAAAATCTTTTGATGTAAGGCAATTGCTTCACTTTTAACAAGGTGGGAAGACAAACAGTGTAGTTTATGGACCAGCCAGTCAGTATTTGAGAGGTAGTCTAGTTGTTCATTTGACTGAGAGAGGTAGAGCTGGTTGAGAAATCAATAGCTAAGGCCAGTCAAATTCATATCTCAAGCTAAGATGGCTCAGCCTGAGATTGCTAATGTCACAAGGGATTCAGCTGTCTTGCTCATATTTATTCACTTTTGTATGGGTAAGGTTCTTGTAAAATATCCAGAGAGAATGCTCCCAGAGATAGCCAGCAAAAAAAGCTTAACTACATTTTGGCATGTGCCAACCAATTAATACAGGTTATACAGATTATGACTGTGAAGGTTAAAAAAGCTAAGTGGCTCTCCTCATTTGCCAGATCGATATTACTACAAAAACATAGACATACCAGGTACTAGAGGCAAGTTTTAAATTCCATATGGTTTACCTGTATAAAATTCTCCATCCATTTTTTTCACACACTAAAAAACCCCCAATTATTTTAGAGATGAAAGCCAAAAAGACATGAGGGTCATAGAGCCAACAGGTAATAAACCCCTTGTTAAAGACATCTAGGTACAGAATCATACATAATGTTCCCTTGTATTGATGTAGGCTCTTCCAGGTCCTGAGCTTTGTGGGTATCTGTTGCTCCAATTTTTGTAGTGAGTTTGCTGATACACAGGATACATAGGCTGAAGACCCTCTTGCTCCTGTAGCTCTTCAGCCCCACAAGTAAGTTGCCTTCCATTCACAGCTTTCTAAACACATATAAGAAGTAATAAGTTTCATAGTTCATGTATAGAACCTGCAATTCCTATTCTTGGTAAAGCTTTAAGCAAAATCAAAGATACATTATCTCCAAGACAGCCTTATGAACAAAGAAACAGGAACTTAAAAATTTCCCTAACAGACAGATTTCACTTCAAATGCTTGTTTCAAATGAAGTTGGACTCTAAAGATCAATAAATCTAAAGAGCAAACCAGCAACAACAAAAATGTCTGTCAACACTCCTCTGCTTTATGTTACTCACCAAGAAATGAAAGCTGGAGTGTTTAAGTATTTAAATTAGTCATCAAACTACTATAGGATATTAAAATGGTACTGCTACTTTTCACTTAACTCACACAATCCAACAGTTATTGACCAGGATGGACAAATATTTTTTTGTTCATGAAAACCAACATTATAAGTTTATTTTATGGAATAAGAAGAAATCAAAGCTTCAATCAGGAATTCAAGCCATCTTATAATTTACCATGTGCTGCAAGTTTCCAGCATCTCTCTCTCTGTACTGGCTCTGCAAAGTAAAATGTTCTTTCTGAAAGAAGAGAAGTTACAGGGGAAACAAGTCAAGATTCAAAACTGCAGAACAGCTTTGGTTAATACAAAAAAACACCAGTCATCCCAAAATACACTCTGCCTTAGGTAGTGTCTTAACTGGTTGTCATTTAGAATCCTTCTTACAATCCAATGGCTGGCGGAAAAAAGATGAGGATCAGTCAGGGTCACCTGTCCCAGCTGTGTTCCCTCTCCCAATATCTTGTCTCCCTCCCAATCTTCTGTGTACACCTCAAGTCCATCTGCTGGCAGGGCAGTACAAGAAGCTGAATAGGTCCCAATGCTGTCCAGCAATAAAAAACTTTCCTGAGTTATCAACAGTATTTTCAGCACAAATCCCAAACACAGCCCCCTACCAGCTACTCAGCTACTGCAAAGAAAATTAGTTCCATCCCAGCCAAACTGCCAACCATAAGAGATGAGCTTCAAGATCATCTAAGGAATGTGGAGGTGAACAAGTTCAGGGGACAGATACATTTGCAAGTTCTGAAGACACTTTCACAGGAAGTGACTAACCCACTATCCATCTTGTATTAGAAGTAGTGGCAGGACTGTGGTTCCCACTGTCTGAGAAAGGGGAAATAAGACCCCCATGTCTAAAAACAGATGACCTGAGAAAATACAGGTCAGCCACACTTTAGTGCCCAGCAAGATGAAGGAGCAGAAACTATGCTAAGGCATACAGAAAATAAGGAGATGGTTGGTAACCATCATCATGGTTTCACTAAGGGCAAATTGAGCCTGACAAATTTAGTGGCTGTCTATGACAGGATAATAGTGTTGGTGGAAAAAGGAAGAGCAACTGATGTCAACTACCTGGACTTATACAAAGCATTTGATGCTGTCTCACATGACATCTCTAAACTGAGGAGACATGGATTTGATGGGTGGACCACTCAGTGGATAAAAAACTGACTGGATGGTCACACTCAAAGAGATGGCTCATCGCTGGCTCAAAATCCAAGCAAGGACCAGTGACAAGTGACATTCCTCAGGGGTCCGTATCAGGACCAGCACTGTTAAACATCTCTTTGGCAATGTGACAGTGGGATCAAGGTATCCTCAGCAAGTTTGCCAATAAAACCAAGCTGTGTGGTGTGGTGACATGCTGGAGGCAAAGGGATGCCCTTCAGAGGGACCTTGGCAGGCTTGAGAGGTGGCTCTGTGTGAACCTTGTGAAGTTCAACAAGGCCAAGAGAAAAGTCCTGCACCTTTCAGTTGCAATCATAAACACAGGTAAGAGCAATTATAAACATAAACACAAACACAAGCTGGGCAGAGAAGTGATTGAGAGCAGTCCTGAGGAGCAGGACTTGGGAATGTTGGTGGATGAGAAGTTCCTTCATGCAGAAGCATTGAAATCTCCCTTCTTTTACGTTTATTTTTTTCTTCACCATTATGATAGAAAAACTTCATTTGTGAAATGGGCTGTTTTCAAACATCCAGTTAATCACCAACTGCCTGAGTTAATGGCTGATTAAATCACACTGAGTAGTGCCATTTAAGAATTATGATTTAGGGTACAGTTTGTACTCTGGTATCATCACTTCTAGTAAAGTTCTTCCTTTATGCCACACTTAGTACAGGATCACAATAGGCTAAAGCAACACCTTCGCACAATTGTATTTAATTTTTGTTTTGCAATTCCATCTTTTCCTAACAGTATCACAGTGGCAGCAACAACACAAAGTAGGCTAGGTTGCTGATCTTTGTGCAGAAGTCCCTCCACAAGTATTCATACAGGTAGGTAACATTTCCAGTGGTCATACATCCGTATTCTTACTTTCAAGAATTATTTTGAAGAGAACCCAATCTCAGTGATATTTTGTTCTTACTTTCTCCTCCTTCCCCTTAACTTTTTACCTTTCTACATTTGTTTAGTAAAGTTTTGAAGCAATTTTGAGCTAAGTTTTAATATGCAAAATTTCTTCAAAAATCATCTAATATTTCCTAACCTTTTACACTTCTCCAACAGTTATTTTTCACTGGTCTATTTTTCAACTTTAGTTTGTCAAGCTTTTTGTCTTGTAATTCTATTTCAAAGTGCCCCCTCCTGTCCTTAAAGTCACTGTGCTTTTGCTTCTCAAGTCCTAAAATGCAATCTGCATTTCTGAGAATATGTGATTTACTACTTAGCAGGCAGCGTTGCTCCTTCAAACCTGAGCTGAGAGCATGAGTTCACCACACAAGGAGACAAAACACACATGGGGAACAAAAAAAACCCCATCTCCACCAAAAGCTAATGTTCTTTAAACAAAAAACAAAACAAAACAACAACAAAAAATCTGCTTGCTTGAGGAATTCTACCAACAGTGGATGTGGATGTGAGTTAGAGACTCACTGGAAACCAGAATAGCAAATTCCAGTTGGTTACTCAATTAAAACTGTAAGCCAAAGAAAATAATTTCACATGGCACGAAAAGACAACACCTTTGCAAGATAATGCAATTATACATTTTACAGGCATGGACCAAGTGACAACCAAAATCATTGGATTCTGTCAAACAAAACTGGTGCTGAGAAACATAGTCTGTGTCTTCTTGCATAGAAGCAATCTGGGATTCTGTGCTTGGATGCCTAACAGAAGTTTGCATTGTCTTACCATTACATTTTGCAGAGTTTCATAAAACCTCTTTTAGTGGTTTTACTCTAAGAATTTCTTGAACAGTTCTTCAAAAGCCTAAAACCAATTATCTCGCTAAAAACTTCATCTTACCTTTTCTGATCCTTTCCAATTTAGAAATTCCATTACAAAGGCATCCACTAACAAAAAAAAGCTTGTGCCTCATTCTAACCCCAATCTGGTAATTTTTTTTTTTTTCCTATTGCAAGATCCTTTATCAATGCAGATTATTTTATTGATGCACATTTTGTGCTCCCTTCCATTCAATCTTGTTTGTCTAAACAGTTCTTTGGTTTAAGGCAAATAATAACAATACTGCTTCCTTTTTCATCAAGGAAGAGATACTCCCACCTGTATAAAAAGCATTACGAAAAGAAATAGAAGAGTGCAAGAGAGCCATAATCTATAAATGAATCAGCATTATACTAGGTTTAAGGGTTCAGTGGCTGATGTCTTCAAATTTGATTCAGAAACATCATCATTTGATAAATGTATTTGATACTTTTAATGGTGCTAAGACAACTTCATCTTTTTCTTTCCTGTTTTGATCAGTAATACAAATATTACAGTTAAAGAACTTTGCTTGGCAAAATAGTGAGGCATTCATCCAATGCCTCTTCTCATTCCCTTATCCACTCTTATTTCTGTTGTTACAGAAGAGCCTTGTTAAATTCTGAATCCTTCAACAACTTTGAATGCTGCACTGCATTGTGCAAATCATGTTTTTGCCTTCCTTCAGAAGTACCTGTCAAATTAATAATAACTTCAGTTCTTGAACATTGTCAAAGACTGCCCATCTCAAGCATGTTTAGAGGAAAGTAAATAAGTTTTTGCTTCTTAGTAATATATTGTTTGAAACAGTGAAGCTTACTCTAATGATGCCAAGGACTGCCAGAATTAGTGCACCCTCTTACACTCCTTTTTAAAATATTATGCAATAGAAAAACTCCTCTTTAAGCCACTGGAATTCTTCCATTGGCTCAACTTCTTCCTTAATAACCTCAAAAACCACATTGTTAAGCAGAGATTCCTCTCTCAACAAGGACATAACCTTCAGGCTGCTCACCACTCTTTCACATTACAAGTAATAGATAGTTCTGAGCAACAGAATAGCATTTCCATGGCAATGATTATTAAAAGAATACCTGGCCAAAAGTAACAGTGCTGTTGACAAAAGAGTTGACAAGTCTTCATAGTAAATAAAGCTATAATATCATTTTTCCATTGTATTTTTATGCTTTGGACTTTTGCCTTCCTCTTTTAGGGCCATAAGTGAACCAGTTTTTCTCAGTTCTGAAGTGACTCACAAGAACACATGAATTGGTACCTTCAAGTACCAGTACAGAGAAGTTATGAGTACTCAGTTACATAGTACTTGTACATACTGGTAGCTCATTATTAACACTAGCAGGTAAATGAGAATGTATATTTAAAGTAAACTAAAAGTTTCCAAGTCTCAAGAAGTACCCATGAAAGATACTGGCTGTCCAGTACTATTCACAGGTCCAGTTAATTTATCTTCATTTTAATGCCATCACCTGCTAACTCAGATATGCATAAAATCAGTTAAATACTGATTGCTGGGATACAAAAAGGAGAATTTCAGCATCATGTACTGAATCTTAAATACTTTACAAGATAAAAAAAAGCTACTGTCCATGATTTGAACAATAACAGCAGAGATGATTGAAAAACTAGCACATTATTTATAACAACTTACCAGAATCAGCCTAAATTGAATAAATCCACTTTCAATTCTAAGTTATTGTGAGTATGCAGAAGGCACCATTTAAATTCACTCCTTTACTTTGCACCTTTGTGCAGCCTATCATTTCTACTCAGGCTGAACTGATCATCTGTTGTGGTTGACAAAGCAGTGACACTTCCCCTACAGTTCTTTTTAGCAGATCCAGAAGTTTACATCTTAATTACCCAGTGAGAGGCTCACCTGGCATCTCATTCTGGGTAGGCACGACAGCAATTGGAACACCAGGTAGTACAGCGGTGAGTACAGACATTTAGTCACACAGGATGAGACATCCTGACAGGCTGCTAACTTTTTTCTCTTGCCTCTTTACAGCTATCCAAATGTTGGCTTGGTACACCAAAACAATACAACCAATCACTTCTTGGCTAAAGCTAGTATTTTACATTTATTTCTGTTAGAAAAAATGAAGCTCTTGCCTCAAGCATAACAGAGTACATACTGAATAGAGGCAGTATCAGCTAAGAAGACAGCCTCCAGCTCCAGGTCTTTTCACTTCTGGAGTTCCACAGACAGAAAAAGACAGGTACACTAACAGTGTTGTGGCAACATCCATTTCTTAAATAAAGTCAGGTTAACACCTAACCTGAAGGGGAATCTTTCTTCTCCCAAAACAACTTAAAACTCTGTTTATCTAATTTGTGGAAAACAAATATTCAATTCAGTCTCTTTACAATTTTTTCTCTATTTACAAAATACATTTTCATAAAACATTTAATTAAACATTCCAAGACTACAGCCAGGTTCAGCATAAGTTCTTTAGTACCCATTAACAGAAATCACAGTAAGCACAATGAGAAAAAATTCAAAGACAGCAAAGTTCTGAAGAGGAAAGCAATAAGGTACACATTCTCTAATGTCTACCTCCTTATAAGTTGCTCAGTAAAGGACAAATAATTGCATTTCCTAGTGTTGTAATTTTGCCATCTAGCAGCACTAAAGATGCACAAATACCACAATAGACCATATATTTTGATTCTATAAGCAAGACAATATTTTTCAAATACTTTAAGCAGAAATATTAGCAGAAGAGTGATTCATCAAAAATTGCAATTGTTAAGTACTGTAGTAAAAGAAGAAATAGCTTTGATGCCCATCCTGAGCACAGAAAAGCACTGGTTCTTTTGTATCATCTTTGGTACTTTGGTACCACCTTTAAGGTAAGAAGATGAAGACCTATTATTCTTTATGCCAACAAAATGTTTTCTACCTTCACAATGTTGTAATCATCAGGCTGCTACTACTAGATCCACTACTACTGCAGCAGTGCATCTCAGAATATTTTCCTGCTTCACTCAGCAACAATATACACAAGTATTACCCATTGTAATGTTTATGACATAAGGAAAGGTTTTATCAGCAACTGCTATTTGGTGAGCTTTAGTAACCATCAACCACAAAGAAACTCTACAAGAATATTTTCAATGTTATTAAGAATTCCATGAAAATCCTTCTTAAAGGTAGGTGAAGATTTTTTTCCCCCTCTATGAGAAAGGACTTTTATAGGTCCTTAAAATTGCAAAGATACACCATAGTATTGGAAAAATGATATTTCTTAAAAACAAATGATTATTTTAATTAGCTCAGTGTTATGATTCAGCACATCAGTGGTTAGAATCACATTATTTATGGTATGTACTGAGGATGGAACAAAAATTTTATTAAAAACAATTACAATCTAATTCTTACAAATACTGATAGATGACAGAAATTTTCTTCAATGTAAGCAGAAATCTAAAAAAATCTGACTGATTAATGTAATATAAACACACATACACAAGAGACTTTAAGGGCCATGGCCAGGACCTATAACTGACATTAGCTTAAGTGACCTCTCAAGCACAGGTCTCCTCTATAATGCCTAGTGCAAGAGAAGCCTGAATTCACCTGGGGTTTCCCAAGCACTCCAAGTCAACCTCAAAACCATGCTGTAAGGAAGAACCTACCCTTCCTTGCTCCCCACTTACTCAAAGTGTTTCATTTGCTAGAATCAGCTTTCCAGTGTGACCTCTACAAATTGGTTTGATCAGACTACACCCACACAAACATTAAATGCTGGTAAAGAAGTTTCTTGCCTATTTTTGTCTTGCTTGGACAGCATTACTTTAGATGACAAGAAGCTACCCCTGAAAGCACACGAAAAATTCAACTGTTTGTCATGAAATTGGTATGGGGTCATTTGCTGCTGGTAAATGCAAGCAGAAAAGATAAAATTAGAAGTTACATAATTGCAAATATTTAAAAGTGATTTAGTAATCTTCAACAAGACTCAAACTCATACTTTGGTAGATTAGCCATGTCAAAGCCCAAATTCCAATCTATCCCCACCCCTCAACCGTTAATAACTCAAAAGATTGGCAGTTGTTACCAGCAAGGGAGCTTTTGATCAGGTCAGTTTTTAAGTTTACAAGCATAATTTTTCTCTCTTATGAAGACTGCTTGTATATGCTTGAGAATATATGTATATTCTCTTACCACAGAATTTCAACTTTAGATTTTTCTAATTCAAAAGGAGCTGTGTCTGTCAAAGGCTGTTACAAGTTTCCACCTCTAAGGATGACTTTAACATTATAGATAACAGATCTGGATATCACATACATAGAGAAACAGCTTGGTTGTGAAACCATTGAAAGGTTTCCATATATTACTGGGAAGGCAAAATCAGAACCAAGTTAACATAATAAAGCAAAGTTAACACTTTCCTGAAGTCAATTTAAGATACATATTAACACTTACTCACCTGAAGCATAGCTTCTTTCTGTGGCACTGACAACGTTCTCTCCTCAAATGAGGCTGGTTTATGAGTGGGCGGAAGATCAATCCTGTAGTAAAAGGGGGAATGAACTATAACACATCATGTTTGTCAAGTCAAATTGAATGGTCAGATAATAACTGCCAAATCACCCAGCATTCAGTACTCAGGGACAAACACCTTTCAGTCAGCAATGACTCAGATGTGATATATTGTAATGGAATATGTCTACCACTGGCTATTATTCAGGAAGACACTTTTTGTAGAAAAGCACTACCCAGAATTTGTTATTTATTGCATCCTGTGTTAAGCAGACTGAACTTCCCCCCAAACACTCCAACTAAGGAGGATTAGAAACTACTGGTATCTAACATAATTTTTAAGTTACGAGATACAGCTTGAACAACTTTTTAAATTATAGCCTTCCCTTAGAAAGCCTTTGAGAAAGCCTTACTAGCAATTCTTACATGCAAGACTTTTTCAATGTTAACTTTCACAGTGAAAGCAAGTGGTTATAAAATAATTTAAATATTTAAGATCATTCATAGAAATAAACTTCAGATACAGAATTTAAGAGAAACCATGTTAAAAGTTGCTCAAAAGAAGACTCTTGATTCATCTTGCTAGCTCAATCCAAATGAGGAAACTTATTTTATGCTAAAGGCTCTTAGTTATTTTTCTTTAGTTCTCTTTAACAATATGAGCAACATTTCGAATTCAGTTTTAGTGTTAACTGTATATGGGATGTAAGAAACTGTATATGGGATGTAAAAAGACACATATTTACAAATATTATAAGCTCCTGTCACATTTTTATGCATGTTCCAAACAGAATCTAGACATCATCCCCTTCAACTGACAACGTCTTTTCAGATGTTTTTGTTTCCTTCTTTTTTGTTTGATCCTATTGAACAAAGTAAACTGCAAGTCTGTGCCAGAGGCTTAAAGAAACAACCAACATTCCAGAAAGCACAAGAAATCAGTAAGCATGTATCTGTGGAAGCTTGCTTAATTTTACAAACATTTCAGGATTAATTTTAGGGGGCCTTCACATTTGCAAAGCACAGCAAATTTACCTTGCAAGTTAGATCTGCAGTTACAACAAACTAGCAGTCACTGGCACCAGTCAAGAGGAAACCCTTTTTTGCCCTCCAGTTAAATCCATTAATAGTTTTCTTTCAAAAAACCCCAAACTTCTCATGAGATAAAGCTCTTTATTACTTCCAAAGTAATTCTTACCTTCCTTATTTCTTTTTCAGAAATGTGTGATTTCACATTTGTGTACTCTGAAAATAGAGCCCTGAAATTAAAAAAAGCTGAATAGCTGCTAAATTAAGTCAGACACTTAAATTACTGTACAGAACAAACTCTTTCTGCATATCGCTTTCAACTGAATAAGAAAAAAAGTCCAACACATACTCACACTTTGTCAAGATAGGCTGGCCTTTTCTTCCTTGGGGTCAGCAGCACTGTCACAAAGATGGTAATGATAAAAAGAGCAAGGACTGCTCCAATCACAGCCCCTGCTACAGCAACAGAAGATGTCTGCTTAAAGGGCACATCTGCAATGTGATAGCATAGGTTACAACTTTAAGAAGTTCATATACTTTTAATACTCAGATAAGCTACTTCAGCGTTGTTCTGAGAAATGCTTCTTCCTTCCACTGCCAAACAGAAAGCCTTGCCCTGCACTAGCACTTTTGTAGTATTGCTTCAACTTACCCAATTAAACAACTGGAGAAATTAAGAGAGTTCGTGAAATCAAAATTTTTGATTTAAAAAATTTTATGGACTACTTGAATTAAATATGAGCAGCATGCTTTCATTCTCAATTTCAAGGTAAGATGATATTACAAAACATATGATTTGCACTTAAATAAGCTAACAAGGTGTTAATTAAAAAACCTAGGCAACTATAGTTTATTGACAATCTTTCTTTAAAGGCACTTAAGTTTGCAGAAAGCAAAAAAGAAAAACTTAAAATCAGGGTAAAAAACCCCATATACTAACTACTAGGAGCAATGAATATGCAAACAAACACTAAATACTTGGCTTACACTTATTAAAGCAAACCCTAAGACCACCTATCATCTTTAGGACTTCACACTTCAAGCTACAAGAAAGTAATATTTATAAATAAATTTTAATAAAGGGAGAGAAAAAGCTGTGGTTTTTTTTTTCCTTTTACAGAATTTTTCTTTAGACCTTAGCATTGTGAAATCCAGTGCTGAACAACTTCCATAATGAATTAGCATACTTGTCAGTCTTTAAAGACCACTCCTTTCACTATGCTTAGAAATCAAATTTTAAGTCTCAAAACTGAAAAAGCTGCTAACATACTTTAACTTAAAATCATCAGTGCTTTAAACTAGTGCCAACAGGCTCAACAAAAAGTTTCACAATTGGAATAATTCATGTCAGCTGCACTAAACACTTACCTATAAAATTTAGGCAGCATATATTAAATAATGCTCTCATTTACATTGAGTACTGAATCACAAAATTCAACAGTGAAGAAATTTAAAATTAACACAGTTACCTTCAATGTATTTCTAAAGCAGTCTATTATTATTCAAATGCAACACAACCATTCTCTATTTAATCTCTTACTGAAGGAAATTTTGAGAACCTCTTTAGCTGTATGTTCTATTCACAGATAAAAACCATGAGACTATACAATATGATTTATCAATTCCTCAGATTTCTTATGTTGTTCTGCCTGTATGTTGGAAAGCTGAGCAAAACCCCTCAATTAAAAAAAAAAAAAGCAATCTAAAATACAACACTTGATTTGCACTCTAATAAACAATTCCTGTCCCCTCACTGCTTATCAAAGATCTGACATGAACATTCCCCTGGGATTGCACTCACAAAGTATATTTAAGTAACTTGAAAAAAACTGAAATAAGCTTTTTTTTTTTTTGACTTCCTTAATGTTGAATAAAGTCCTAGAGTAAAAACTTGCAGAAGTTACTTTGCTCCTCAAAGATGAATGCAACATACCACACTTGGTTTATATATCGGTTTTCCTGGCATAAGCTCCATGTGTCCATCAGATACCAGCCTGGACACTATAAACTGTCCTGGCTTTGGCTGGGATAGAGTTAACTTCTTCTCAGGAGCTTGTACAGTGGTTTGGATTCAGCATGAGAATAGTGCTGATAACTCACCCATGTTTTGATTTTTGCTAAGTCGTGTTTATCCTAAGTCAAGGACTTCTATTTTGTGTGTCTCTCTCATGCTCTGCCAGTGAGGAGCTGCACAAAAGAAAACTAGGAGGGAGCATGGTTGGGACAGATCACCTGAAGAGGCCAAAGGGATATTCCACACCACAGAACACCATGCCAAGTATATAAACTGGGGAAATTACCCAGAAAGAAGTATTGTGCATCACTTGTTTATTTCCCTCATTTCATTATCCATTACTATTATTATTATATTTTACTTTGTTTTCAATTATTAAACTGTTCCTATCTCAACCTACAAGTTTTGCTTTTGATTCTCCTCCCCATTCCACCAGGGTGCAAAGAAATGGGGGTGGGGAAAGCAAGTAGTTGTGTTGTGCTTAGCTGCAAGCTGGGCTTAAGCTACGACGCAAGAATAATTCATAATTTTTTCCTGAAGAATGGGCACATGAATCAGTGGAAGGATCACCTAACCACTGCATTTTAACTGGCTCAAGTTTAGTTTACATTGGGTGCCCTCTTCTTGAAATGAGAAAGTCTCAACTAACTAATATACATTCTTGGGTGTAGAATTCTTGAAGATGCTTTGGCCTTGTGATTATATCAGAAGAGTTCCTTGACTGCTTCATCTGAGCTTCATGGTGCCTTTTCTTCTAGTAAATTCTGCTATCATGTTAAGACATCATAAAGTATTATAATTTCAATCAAAGCCCACCCATTGAGTCTGATTTTGGGTAAGATGACAAACACCCATTTACTTCTGAACATCAGGAAAAATAGTAACATCCCAGCACAGTGTCACACAAAAACTTAAATGCAATTACCACAGGGCACACTTCATTTGGTTTTTTGAATTGCTTTGGCAAAACATCGGTCTAACCAGGAGAATGGTCATAAACCCAGACCACCATGCCAAGCTGAACAAGCCAGAGAGCACCTAACATGTATGGTGCTACCTACTAAGCATTTTAACCACCAGATGGTCAGAAATAGATGGGAATTGATTAATTCCAAGAAATATGGTTAAAGCAAACAAAGACAATAGAATGAAAAAACAAGACTATTTTGAAGTATGCAATGCCTAGTTTATCAGCTGTGCTTGAAAACAAATGTTTTGGATGGCAAACACCTCCATTTATCATTCTCTTAATCTTCTTAAAAGAGTTTCTGAAGACACTTGTTTTGTAAGTTTATGCTCTCTTAGGGGAATACTAAACAGCCCATCTCACACAGCTTAAACACTTTAGTTCATTCTATCCAGCCTCTGGGTTTATTGTGCTTTTCCATCTCCAATTTTTAAGAACAGACCTGTGCAACATTTTTGAACACTACCTATGTTCCAGAATGTAAGAAAAAGTTTATTCACACAACAGCCATTTGTACGTACAATCAATTCTTTTTACAGTAGACATAATGTACAAAACATTGCAACGCACATGAGCCCTATCCCTATTAATAACTTCAACTCCAGAACATTTCAACTTCTCAACCCATAGGAATTAAATATACATATTTTTTAAAAAATCAAAGCAAAAAATCCACAGAGACAAAAGCAAGATATCCCATGTGGAAAACTGGTTTATGGTTATGTTTATTTCCAAGTAAAACCATCTTTTAAAGATGATATATCAAGTTTTTTTTGAAGAGAGGTATAATCTCTTTATTCCAGAGATAATTTGGATCAGAACCCTCTGCTAGAAATTTCACTCCTTTTCTTGTGTTTGCACTCAAACTACAGATAACCACAATATCACTTGCTATTGTTTTTGAGACTGGTCAATCATGTATCAGTACTCCATTAATCCAAACCCAAACTTAAGTTGTTTAGGGATGCTTTTCCATTTGAATTTCAAATAAAGCTGTTGTCTTAATCTTTTTTAAAGACATGCAGTCATATGCAATCACAGTGTATTGTCTACAACACTCAATATAACTATTTTTGGGAAGCTCTAAATGCTGTAAGCTACCAAACATCATGAGGACAGAAAAGAACTTCCAGCATCAATGCTCATGGAGCAGCTGTAATTATGCAACCTATTTCACATCAACGGTAGCAGACTTCTCTCCTTTCAGTTTTCAAATACTAATAGAGCCATATCAGGTTCAATTTCCTCAAGCTAAACACTTAAAAATGGCACTTCAAAAGATTTAATATTCTACTTATGAATTCATTGTTGTTCTGCAATTCATCTAAAGTTGTTTCATTCCTCCTCACATAATGGGCAAATTTAGTTTGGTGAATCTGCTCAAGATAAAGTAGAACTATTTCACATATCAGACAAGATTTCCTATGTATAATGGATACAATGTCATTTTAAAGAACATGTAAAATCAGTATGGATTATTTGCAGGGAAAACAAATCCACTGCGGTACAGAGACTGCACAGAGACTGAATTCCTGTTTCATAGACTCTAGTTGCACCACTAAAGAGTGTGTTTTCAATACCTAAAGTAGCAGTGCAAGTGTCTACTTCCCTACTAATAATCTTAAACTCTGGCTACCCTCTTCAAAGCAGGTATTGTTACTTAGTCCGAAGCAGCGTAAAACCGCTGTTTTAACTTCTGGTCATAGAAACTCTAATGCTTTTTGGCACCTGGGAAAATAAGCATATTCACATTAGCCTCCAGCTTTGGAATCTATAGGGGTGTTTTAGCTGTGTCCAATTAACCAGCTTTTAAATTCAATGGTAAGATTCCAACAAAGCCTCCAAAACAGGTCTCAAAAATTGCACGCTGTAAAGTTGCAAAGAGCATCTTGTATGCATTAATGAGTTTTGACACCCTGCCAATTACAGGCCTAACAAAACACCTCACTGTATGTATATATACAGACACTAGAGTAAGCTTTAGAAATCAATGACTAAAAAAATAACTTTTCATCTTATTCAAATACAAGCCTTTGACCTGTTTAGAGTTACTCCTCAAAATGTTGCTCATAAGTTAATTTCAGTGCAATGACTTAACTTTTAAGTATATAGTTACAAGAAGGCTCATTAAAATGCTAAGAGGTATTCATTTTTATGCAGAAAAAACCCTAGAAAATAAAGCTTTAATTCTGCTGTAACTCATTTTAATTGGTAAAATATTTGCTATACAGAAGCATTAAGCTTACTGTGGATGGTACCTAGACTGGAGTAATTCAAAGCCCCCAAAGATTATATTTGATCATTGCCTTGGGTAAACTTATTTTTAAATCAGAGAGCCAAGACAGCCATTTTTTATTCTTAAACAATATTGAACGGCAACTTCAATTTAGTCTTTTTTTTTTAACTCTGACATAGACCAATATAAGCACTCTGCATTAAAACTCAAATCTTAAACAGTAGTACAGCATTGGGAAAAAAAAGCAGCTCAAATACATTTTCCCCAGTTTCAGT